TGATGTTTGCGTTCCAGGGTTGCTGGGTTTAACTCCTGGATCTACTTTCGTGCCCTTTGTTTGCCCTCATCGGTCTGTGTGAGGCCACCATTTCTGCCCCGGTGCCCGTCTTCTTGGCTTCTCCATCCTTAGCCTTCTGCTCTGCTGGACCACTGGGGGGTGGGGGTGGGCTCAGAGGCGCATCCCACTGTTGGATTTTGGCAGAGAAATAACCCTCCATAATCCATGTGCCTCGCAGGGATGAGGTAGAGTCGAGGCTCCTCCTTTTACTCCAGCCCCCTGAGCCCTGGCAGTTGGGAGCACTGAACGCAGCGGGCACCAGCTGCTGTGGCTCTGTCCTGTGCTGGCTTTGCTTCCCAAGCATGTCCTTGTCCTGAAAGGCCAGAATCTTGGAGACCCCCTCCCCATTACCCCACCTCAGTGTGGGCACAGCCAGGCTCAAGTGGCCTCACTCTCATGCATGCCCATGTTCTCAGAATCTTGCTGGGTGTTTTGGGAATAGCGCTTGCCTCTCTGGTCTCCTGGTGGACTTCACAAACCAGAGTCCAGAAATTCTACCACTGAGGCACTGATCTTCGTCTTTCCTTCCTTCCTCTATTTTTCCTTCATCTCCTTACACCTTCAAGTAAAAAATTTTAAACGGGGAAAATTCTTCCCATACCTAAAATCTGTCCTTGAGGTCTGGTCACCCCGTGCCGTTGAGACCCCAGACGAGAGCTTCATTCATGAGCCTCTGGTCTTCTAGAAGGGTCTGGTCTGTTCATTCATGACCAGGGCAATTAAACAACTCTTTGTAAGAGGCAGGGAGCTCCTTGTTAAGTGGTCTTCCCTAATGCAAGTGCAAACACAAGGCAAAGTCCTTCCCTTCTCAGCACACACCTCCCCCTTCCTTTTAAAGAGTCGATTTTATGCTTTAAGGGAAATGGGGAAAGGGGTGGGGGGGAAACAACCTTACAGGGATTTTAGGCCGATTCAGCATTTTTTCTGGGGTTGCTCCAAAAATTCCCTAAACTATAATAAAAAGAAAAAAATTGTGAGCAGGCATCTGATTAGTTAGCTTTTTACAACACAGCTTTTCTTTTTGATGCTTAAAAATGCACAAATAGAGTTTTAAAACAAGCCCCTGTGCAGTTTTCTGAGGAGGGAAAGGAGTTGTTGAAAACTCCGGAAAATGTTATAAAGCTGAGGGAAATTAACAAGGGGCTGCGAGTTTTGCCTTTGCAGTTTAAGTATCAGAAACCGTGATAAGAAGCCAAGTTGGGCCTCTGAAACTCTTCCTTAGTCCCGGTAACCAGCTAACCAGGGATACTTCTCTTATGAGATCCTCCCAGGTCCTCACCACGAGGCCTGGGGAGCCCCCAGGAGCTAAGCACAGACCTTTGCGGGAAGACACTTGTGGGCTGTGGGCCCAGTTCAGGGAACTGGGTTTCTCTGAAGATGATGCTGAGTGCTTCCTAGAAATGAGCCCAAATGACGGGGAATTTGGGGCAAAGGAGGAAAATCTCTGAATTGGCAATGTGGGAAGCTGTGCTGGGCTCCCAGAAGTGTGATATGTTAAAGGGGCCTTAGCTATTGCGATGGTTTGCTGGAGAGCCTGTTTGTGCTCAGAGATAGTCCAGGAGCAGGTAGAAGAGGGCTGTGGGGTGACATGGGGGAGGTCCTGTTGCCCCAGATTAGGGCACCTAGCGAGCTTTCAGGGGCCTTATTCACACACAGGGACACCCACACACTGCCGTTTATCTGGGCTGGGCCATTAACCTCAACAGAAAAGGGCTTTTTCCAGGGATGTCTGGCAGCAAATTGCTGGGTGGACTGGCGGGGGCTGTACAGATGAAAGAGAAACCCGCCAGAACGCTCCCCCTTTCCCCCCCTCTCCCTCTCTCCCTTCAGGGCGCTGGGCTGGAGTCCAGCCGACCTCAGGCCCCAGCCCTGCCCAGCTTCCTCTGCCCCCAGAGGCCTGCGGGGCAGACGTGTCCCCCGCCTCTTCCCCGTGGGCCTGGCACGAGAGCAACTTGATCCCAGGCCCCCACCCTACCCCTGCACCTCCTCCCCGTCCCTGCTAGCGGGTGCCAGGTTTCAGGGGGCCAGGCTCCATGAAACAAAGTATTGTGAGACTCCGTTGAGGGTCTCCTGCACCTCCCTCCCAGCAACTCCCCGAGTCCTTCTTTCCAGGCCAGGTTTGTTGTCCCGGGATAGTAAGGGAGAGCTTCTTACATTTCCAAACACCCTCCCCCTCAGGCAGGGACGCCCTGTGTCTTCCAGAAGAGGGCTTTCTCCTCCAGCACACTTGCACGCCAGAGCGCTCTTATTTACGTGGCTGTTGTGGGTCTTTGGTGTAGCCTTCAGAGCTGAGCTCCCTCGGCAAGAAAGTTCAAAGATTGCCAGCGCTCACGAGTTTATTAGCAGTTGATGGATACTTTGCAGAAACAAGTTAATGCCTGATGAGTCACCTTCTGCTTGGAGCCCTTGTCCCTCTCTTGTTTTTCCATATGTTCCAGTGTGTGCGCACGCAAGCACACACACAAGTGTGCTCACACTTGGGGACACAGTCTCTCTCACACTTGTGCCTTATAGATGCGTGTGTATGTGTGGGGGGGGTGTGTGTGACAGGCCTGTTCTATGGGGTTGATTTTTGGTGGGGTGGGGATTGAGGGAAAGGAATGAGCCCTAAGCTCCCCATTTTGTGTAGCTGTCCGGGCAGGCATTTGACAAGGTCAGTTGGGGTGTCTGCAGGAGGCAGCTACTCAGGGTGTGCATTTGTAGCTGCCTCAGTGGGTCATAGGGCACATTTGTACACTTATTCATGGGACACCTCCATGCAAGACTGGCTGCTGCTTAAGAAAAAAAGTTCATGGAGCTGACTGGTTCCCAGGTCCTAACATGCCTGTAAACATTGGAAGGAGTTGAGTGCTGAGCTGCACTGGGTTACCCAGCCCTCTGGGACAGCAGACATGAAGCCCCCCAGCCCTCCTCCACCCTGGCCGCCACACTGTATAACCCATCACCTCTTCTTCAAGCCCAGTTCCAAAATAAAAAAGGCCAAATGCACCAAAAGACATCTCACAGCCAACCCCACCCTCCTTTCCTAAGCCCCCCAGAAAGTGAGAAGGGAGGGCAGGAGGAAGGCCCCCCCTTCCCCATTTTTGTTAACAAATACAAGACTTCCGGTCTCCACCCTGCCACCACAAACCACAGTGCTCGTTCCTGCAGCCCTGCCCGGCTGGGGAGATTTATGGTTCCCAGTCTGAGGCCTGCCCTGCTGGCTCCAGCTTAAGGAGGAGTCGGAATGCCAGCCGCCAGGGCTCCCTTTCCTTCCATACATTCCCCTTTAAAGACCTCCGCAGGCCTGTTTAGGAAAATCACCTTACCAGAATCATGCCGGTCTCCCAGGCTGCCTGTGGGAAGAGCCACTTCTAGGGCAGCTGGGGTGGGGCCTTCAGGGGAGGGAGGAAGGAGGGGGCAGGGCAGAAGTCT